GCCTCTCTCTCTCCCCCCCCCCCCCCCCCTCCCCCCTCCCCCCCAAACAGCCCATGTCATTGGAGCAGTGTGGCCTCCTCTGATGGCCTCCTTGCTCATCCACCACTAGCTGGAAGTAAACATTGTTTTAGCTGCTGCATTAAATAGTTTCACTTCGACTTCACTTTATTGTCCCTTGTGAGTAAATTTGTCTTGCAAGCAGGTGAAACGCACACAGACGTAATAATAAAATACATAAAATATTTCATTCAAAAGATGATTGTCTGTAGTTGCTCTTATGTTAATTGTACTAATACACCATGTACTGCATTTACTATTACGACTTCTGCGTTGGACCAGACGTTGACCAACATCAGCAACAAAACAACACTTGAGAGGTGCTCATTTTGTGAAGAGCTGAAAGGATTAGTGTGCTAATTGATCAACAAAAATTGTATTGGCAACAGTTTTGATAATACATTACTATTTATGTTATTTAATCATCTGTTAAGCGAGAATAGCAAACATATTATAGCTTCAGCTTATTATGTGAACCTGACATTCTACTGAAGTCACTGTTTTACCGCCTTAGATAAACGTTTAAATTAGCACAATATACCAGAACAAAATGGTGTTGAGCCTTTCTTTTTTCTTTCCCTTACACCAGTATTTCATCTTGAAGAGCTTTTCAGTTCACGGATGCTTCCCCCCCATCACTAAGCTGGTCTCCGCAGTCATTCTGTCTGCTTGCAGACAGAATTTATTTCCGGCCTTGACCTCGGCATACTTTTTACACCTTAAACAATTGTGCTCCACATGAAAAATGCCTTACAGTTTGCAGCATTACCAGCTCCTGACCCATGTCGCGTTCCGGTTCAAATAAATATTCTTAATGTTATAATAAAATGCCCTTACCTTCATCTGTCTCTTATTTCAGTGTGAGGCAGTACTCTGGGCGCTTCTTCTAGGAAGAGGGATGGGAAGACTGAAGCCATGCTGCCATACTGTTTCCTCCTCCTATTCAGAGCAGACATTCCTCTGCTCGGCCTCCTCCCCTCACTATCGCACACTACGCCATCTATCTAGAAATCGCAATTTTTGTTATTTTGAGGAGTTTTGAAAGATCCTAAGCTGTCAAACAGCAAACATGTTTCTGTGCTGGTGTAATTCTTTTTTTTTTTTTAAGGAGATTCTTGTGCCGTCATTGGAGTAAAGTCATCTGTATGATAACATTTGGTGTTGTGAGCCGCCCCGAGCCCTTATCTCCCTCATTTCAGTACAGCATGCAGAATGTAATCTTTTTTTTTTTTTTTTTTTTTTTTTTTTTGTAGGAACAAGGAACATTGTGAGTTTTAGTTTTTTTTTGGGTTTTTTTCCCCCGCTCAAATGTTTAACCACTCTAGTCTAAATGAAGAAGCATGGTCTCAGAACGGTTAAAGACTCATTCAAATACATTTTTATTTTCAGACATCAATATCTTTTTCCACTCTCAAATGAAGTGCTTTTCTTTTTGCTACGGTTGGCTTTAAAGGAGTCGTTTGACATTTCGATTTATTCACTTTCTGGCGTAGAGTTGGATAAGAAGATTGATACCACTTGTGTGTATGGCTGATATTGTAGGTGGACTTGGATATAGTTCAGCACAGCCAGGTTAGCTATTTCCCTCTGTTTCCAGTCTTTGTGCTAAGCTAACCGACTGCTAAAAGTATGCCAGAAATTGAATAAGCCCGTTTCCCAAAATGTAATACTTTTGCTTTAAGTTGGGATAAATGTGCCAGTGTGATATAAAAAAAATAATTTTAATATTTTGTGTTTTTCATAGAAAGACAAGGAGCTGTATAAAGTGTGTATATATTTAAATAGAAACAGTTATTTCAGAAGTGGTTGGGTTAGATAGGCCCAGAATTCTTTCTACTTTCTTGGAAGGAGATGGCGCCATAAGACAGGTTTGTGTGTTTTTTTTTCCTTTTTACTGTCATTAGACTTATTTTCTGCCTCTCATGACTCGCTGTAGTGCAACCTTAATATCTGATCCGTTTGATCCATTTATTCGTGCATAAGTGTTTTTGCAAAAGCATTTTCAAAGTTTTTTTTTTAGTTTTTTTTTTTTTTGGTGAACGCCTCTAAAGATGCGGTTTGATGTGAGAAACCTACAGCTTTGTGAGTCCATGAGTGGTGCTTTCTGCTCACATCTGTATCTCATATCTGTTGTACCTGCAGGTGTTTAGTAAATAAAGTCTGTCACAGTTCACCATGTGTGTGTGTGGTATTTTTATTTTTTTTACTTTATTCTGACAGAGGATAAGATACGTCTATCTAATTGTGTTTGTGGGTCTGTAATTGTTTTCCAGTGAATTGTGTGTCAGCCTGTAGCTCGTAACCGTCACATGCATCCGTAGTTTACTACTTAACACCGGAAATTTGTTCCCATAATGTAATGGCCATGGTGAAAGCCCACACGGTTTCCCATCAGAGAACAGCCCTCTGTCACATGGTCCACTATCCTGGTTTTTTTTTTTTTTTTTTTTAAAACAACAGAGGACGGGACAAACAAAAGTGGACGCAGCAGAAGATAACACCGAGCTTCACTTCCAGATACAAACACTAAGCCTGGAGCGTGAGCATCCTTTTTCTTTGTCCCGGGGAGTGAGCGACTGTTGCCGGTGTTTGTGTTGTTTTGTAGCGCTGTGAAGTGAAACTCCGCCATATTCAGCCCACCACGCCCGGAGAGAGGACTCGCTGCTGCTGCTTCAGTCTGCTGAAGTTGTTGCACTAACTTAATTCCCTCTTCACAATAGCGGAACAAGGTAATAACAAACAGCCTTGCAGAGAAACGTCTTGACTTCCTGAAAACCAACATTTGTTAGAACCTTTTTTGTTTTCCAGCTGTTGTGTTTTGAGTGCGCAGTGGGGATTCTGGATGGGTTAATGGGAACATATCGACTTTAGGATACTCGTGCTAATTTATTTCTTGCGTAACCCAACGTTATGTGTGTGTGTGTGTGTCTGTCGCCTCGGAAGGTGGAGTGTTTTCCGGGAGTAATGACTCTGAGCTCCGTGGGGGCTTGCTGCCTCAGCCCAGAGGCCAAAGAGGCTCGCAGGATCAACGATGAGATCGAGAGGCAGCTCCGCCGGGACAAGAAGGACTCACGACGGGAGTTCAAGCTCCTTTTGCTCGGTAAGCCACGAAAAATACAACCAGTCTATAATACTTGTATGATGGGTACACTCATGTAAAAATAAGAATACTGCATTCAGAATTTTTACAAAAATGAAAGTTGAAATGTACTTAAATTTTCAAAAGTAAAAGTTGGCCTATATGTCCTTTCAGAGTGTTGTATCATTAGACATGTTTATTAATGCATGGACACGTAAGGATGTTGTTGCTGGTCAAGTAGAGCTAAGTGATATAGTTTAATTTATAGCAATGCATTATTTTATGAGATCATTATTATATTGTATGTAAGATCCTAACCTGTAAAATATCTAGGAAGCTGTTGAATTCATGTACCAATAAGTACATGATTGTCCTAGTGGAGTAGAATAATATGGATGTACCTGAATAAGTGAAAAAAGTAGCACTAAACTGGGGTGAATATTACTCTCCACCACTTTCTAACAGTGTATAAAGTTGCACAACAACAAAATACTTTTGTACACATTAATACAGCGGCAATATTCCAGCAATATACTGTATGTATTATAAATAAAAACAATCTGGATGGGGCTATTTTTCTTAATGAGTAGTTATACTTTTGATACTTACGTACTTTTACTAGATTTTGAATGCAGGACTTTTAATTGAGTATTTTTATACTTAAGTAGCAATTCTTCTTACGTCACCAAATCAATTAAAGCTCCTCACTAGAATGAATAAATATACATGCATATCCATTACCTAATTGGCCTTGTAAGTACTTGAGTGCATAGCGATGCGTTCGTGGTTTAAGGTGTACTGTAAGAAATTTCAAAAATAATATTGTTGTTTGATAGTTTTATTTGTAACATTGCATCATATTTATTAAACGGATAATAAAGTTTGTATGTTGAATCTTCATCCGGAACTACAGATGTCAGTTAAATAAAGAGTGGAGTAAAAGTACAATATTTTTCTCTGCAAAACAATGTCATAGAAGTATAAAGTATTGAGTAGATGCATATCAGTCCAACAGGTAAATAAATGTGTGTCAGCTCATCATCTTGGGAGGCCACATTGTATTTGTGTTACTTGACGAAGAATGCATCTGTGAGTAACTGTTAGGTGAAGGTGGTCACGTTGGTTATAATTATTCTGCTTTCAAAAATGATTGACTCGTACTGAATGTGTAACCAGTCGTTTAGGTTCAAAAGTCAGATGTGTAGCTTCAGTGCTTTCCAAACAATGACCACATACGTATAAGTCTTACATTTTAAAACTATGTAGCCTACTAGGTTTAAATTAATCAAAATAATCACATCAAGTGTAAACCCTGACTGTATTCAACTAAACCCTGTATTAGAATGACAAACTTGCATGCTAATCACTTCCCTCTGTGACTGTTGCCAAAACATGATTTCATTTCAACGTCGTCAGCGACGGGGGGAAATGCTGCAATATCTTCAGGTTCATCTTTTTACAGTCAGACACGGCTGAGATGACAAAATACTGTTTCTAAAACTTGACACGAGGAATAAACGAAAGACCCACAGGGCCCAAGAATAAACACAGACTATGGTTATGAGTTTACTGTAAGTCCAAGACTGAAAGACGGGAAAGTACTTCACACACAGGCTGGTGATATTGTGTATTTTTTTATTTTGTCAACAAATCCCATGAAGAGATCGAAACCAGCAGTGAATTGATTCTACTAAGTATTACCTCTGCAACAAAAATGTGATGTTGATTATTTGTATCTGTGCCATAGACCTCCATTGTCCAGAGTCTACAGCCATGCTAGAGGCTCTGTGAGGCTGCACAGTGGAGCTTTGAGCTAAATGCTAACATGCTCACGGTGACGATGCTAAAATGCTGATTCCGAGCAGGTCTCATGTTTAGTCTAATTATCAACGGAAAACTCGGATAGTTACCATTGTAACTATCCTAGTTTTCCGTTGATAATTAGACTAAACACAAAGTACTGCTGAGGTTGATGGAATATCATTATTTTTGCAGGTATTTTGTCATAAAACAAAGTATCAGACAACCCGATTTTTGACCTGATAATAGCGTTCAACAAAGATCCACAAAGTGAAGTAGTGAGAGATGGACTGACACATTTCTTTTAGTCTTTAATAGGATTTGTTGACAATTTAAAATGTGTATAAATAATGCCAGCCTTCCTTAAAGTGAATATGTGCGTGTACAGTAATGTTGTGTATCTGTTGGCGGATAGGAACTGGTGAAAGTGGGAAGAGCACTTTCATCAAGCAGATGAGGATCATCCATGGCCGTGGGTACTCTGACGAGGACAAGAGAGGCTTCACTAGGCTGGTCTACCAGAACATCTTCACAGCCATGCAGGCCATGATCCAGGCCATGAGCACATTAAAGATCCCCTACAAGTATGAACACAACAAGGTAGACCAGACTGTTTGTCCTTTCCTCGCTTCTTCACACAGACAGATTGAGAGAGAGAGAGAGAGAGAGAGAGGTTTTACCGCACACTGTCCAAAAGATGCATGCGCATTGGTTTACAGTCTCAGACGCTGACGGAGCCTGAGCTGTGTGTTAGGGTGAAGCACTTCTGGTAAATTGCAACGGTGTTTAGTTTTGCAATCCAGCTGCCAGAGAGTTTTGTCTACTTACAGGGGAGGGCGTCATTTGGAAAAATACACATGATGTTACACTGCAGGCATGTAAAGACAAGTTAGGTACTCCTGAGCTAAATATAAGTAAGAGACTCGGTAATCACACACATTTGCTGGTGCACCCAAATATGCTAAATCAGGTAAAGTTCCAGGTAAGGAAAGGAGGCGTCTACTTTCTGTGTCCGGTGACGGTTGTACGAGGAAGTGGGTCATGTGGCCATCATGGACCTTTGGCAGCATTAGCCAAGTCTGAGTCAGCACGTGGGTTACAATTTTCTTCCTTGCTCTCTGACACTGAGCGAGGGCGGCGTACTGTGCAAGCTCACAGGATGACACTGTTTGTCACTGAGCATGCAGTACGGAAGTGCAGAGTTGCTGTAGGTCAGAGAGGTCAGGTAGAAGTGAACATTCACTAATTAAACTGTCCACTGAAACACCAGAGGGCTTTTAATTTGAAACAGATACAGGAAGTGTTGAGATTCTATTGACAGCATAATACAGTAACAAATATTTAACAGGAAGCTAAAGGGAGCAGATCCTTCTCTAATAAATGCCTGCTTCAGAGGCCTGGTACCCTCTGCAGTTGAGGTAATTGAAGGCCTGAACCACCATTTGATAAATCACGGTATGTGCTATGTGAGAGTGGAACAGTAACTAAGGGGGCGGGGCTTAGCAAAAATATTTGTTGGAAGTAGGGCCAGGCGATATGGTGGGATATTGGTAAATTCATATCTCGCAATATAATTTAATAAATGAATAGTCTACATGAGATAACCACATGGAGAAGCCTATTTTTGTATACTCCTGTGTTAATTAAATACTCAAATTAAAAGTGCTGAGTATTTTCTCATTTAATTAGGAACTTTAGTTTCAAGTGAAATTATAGAGAAGAAATTAATAAATATGTTCAACGAAACACTGACTATGTTTACATGCATGTACACAAATATGGGGTAAGACAATAGTTTAGCATCGTGGCAGACCTATTTTACACCCGAGCAGACTTATAGTTGAGTTAGTTTGATGTAACTACACTGGGGTATTCCAATAAGCACAATTCTTGGGTAGAGGCATGTAGGAGTTGAACAATTAAGCTGAATGAATGTATGAAGAAATCCTGCACACTGCTGTTGGAAACACTACTCCCAATCTATTTCAACCAACGTTTGGGTTCCAAGTGGACCTGTACGCATTATTCTCCATCATTATCATGCTAATAACTCTCTCCTGAGCTGCATGCGCTATTGTATTCTGGGTAATGGAGCTTAAAGGTTGGAGAAGCTTGTTTCTGGAAGGTTGCCAATTAGAGTTCAGATTGTTAATTGCAGTGCGCTGAGTGGTGATGCAAAAACAAAACTGCAAACTTCAAATTAAATTTAATATATATATATATATATATATATATATTAGATTTAAATTGTTATTATCAATTTATTATAATTGTGTATCATGATATCCAAATAAATTATTTAATCATGATATGATAAAAAAAAAATGCTGGCATATCAACTTCTGAGGATCCCTTTAAATGTGTCCCATCATCTCTCCAAAGAGAAGAGTGGGAGCATGAAAGTGCTGAAGCAGGAGCCATGAAATCAATTTAAAAAGATGCACGAAAATGGAAAGGCATTCGAGGGTATGGCTTCCCCCGGAAATGTAAAAAAAAATCACTAGAAAATACACTTCTCTGGTTGTTTGGAACACACATTCAATCTCTGCTACCAATTCCAGCCCAACAACAGAAAAACAGGAAAATTGTTTTAATTCTTACATATTATATGGAGATATGACAGCAAACAGCTCTCCAGATAGTTTTAATTTTATTGGCGTTAACAGTGGTGTAATAAACTGGTTAAACCTATTTACAGTGTGTACAGATATATTTTATAACTCTGGAATTTACCACAGTGTGGCAGCTCGTAGACATTTGTACCGTGACAGTCACAATATCACCATCACAACATCAACAAAATGACAATTGCAGTATGTCTGTGAAAGCACTTCGTACAATCGAGCTGTTTATTGATGCAAAGTTATGATATGATGCCAAAGTCCCAGAGAATAGAAAGTGAGAGTAAACAGAGTAATTGTTCGGCCATAAACGACCATAAAACGTACTCCAGACAGCTTGTGCAGAAGTGTTTTCTGGCTGAACGATTGCACTGTGGGTCCACAAGTATTTTGCAGTCAGGGAAATATTTGTTATTAATCATAAATAAATGAGGGCAGTAAGGGTGAAATGGAGAGATTTGGAATTCCTAGAAGCCACTGGACATCGGAAGAACACAATGCAGCCTTTGTTCTATGTTTAGCTCTTTGTGTCTATGAATGGACATATTACACAGAAAAGATGTATAGATGAGCATAAAAGTCTTCTTTTCCCCTGACATAAAATAACACATCTGGTGTGGGAGATAAACCCAGCGACTACATCATGCCCCCTCTCTATCTTTCATAGCGCTTTTATAACAATTCACAAGTACATAAACATGACACCATATTCATCATAAATCCCACTGTATATTTGTTTCTGGAAGTGTCTGGTTACTGGTTTCAGTGTGTCTTTCTGCTGCTGTTTAGGAAAACGCCAGTATTGTCCGAGGAGTTGATGTGGAGAGGGTCACAACATTAACAAACCCTTACGTGGATGCCATCAAGTGTCTTTGGAGCGACTCTGGGATTCAGGAATGTTACCATCGCAAGAGGGAATACCAGCTCTCCGACTCAGCCAAATAGTGAGTGTAAACAGGGGCTAATAACCACTCCGGCATTACCAAATAGTTTCCATTGTTTCATCTGCTAGATGTCTGTAACCACTGAAGCCTCAGTGGTTAGTTCATTTAAGGTTGTTGACAAAAAAAGCAAAGAAACCCGTTTTAATTCTGACTTATAGTGAAGTCACAGAAACCGAAACATCCATGAAGTGAATATTTTTACGACAAATGTATCCTCTGTCCTTTTCCCAGTTCTCACCATTTCTAACGTTCGTTCTCTTAAACTCCGTGGCCTGTGTTAATAGCTATCTGAATGACATGGACCGAATTGCTGATCCTGCTTATCTGCCAACCCAGCAGGATGTCTTGAGGGTCAGGGTGCCCACAACGGGTATTATAGAGTACCCCTTTGATCTGGAGGATGTGGTCTTCAGGTGAGTGTTTTATGTTGTTGGTATATGTTCTGTTGTATGTTGACTACAGCCTCACAGAGCTGCTGGCACGGCTGTTTTGCTTCTTCCGTGTCCTCTGACAAGACTAAACAGCATTGTTGTGGAAGTAGATACACAAGGAAGCCATTATGTCTTGTTATTCTTTAATAGTCTCGTTTGAGCACAGCTGGACTTCATTTAATAATTAATTGCCAGAGGTCCATGGTCTTGTTTTGCCCATTTGTACTGTCTCGTGTTTCATTAATTCTGGAAGTTGGTTTTGTTTCTGTATTAATGAATTACATTAAATTGGTTGAGTTAAAAAGTCAGAGCATATCCATTATTGAGGGATATGCCTCCACACAGCTCTCAGCAGCTAACAGCGCAAACAAAAGCAGCAGTGCTGACAGAGTTAACAGTGTTAGTTGGGAGGCGGGAGCAGGAGGGTGGTGGTGGTGGTGGTCCTACATTTCCCTGACCACACCGTGGGCTGGGATGGCGACAGACGGCGATTAGCTAGCCAGTGTGGCACAACATAGAATCTCACATGAGCTAACAAACACGCGTAGTCAGACCGGCTACGTAAACAGAGCACAAAGAAGCTCTGATTTCATTTTCATCCCTTATGATAAACTGGCTATAAATTGGGAATATGCAGATTTCTTGTAATGATGGTGGAACCTGTGGCTGCAGGATGGTGGATGTGGGTGGCCAGCGGTCAGAGAGGAGGAAGTGGATCCACTGTTTTGAGGAAGTCACTTCCATCATGTTCCTGGTGGCGCTCAGCGAGTACGATCAGGTCCTTGTTGAGTCCGTCAATGAGGTGAGATGCCTACAAAATGATCTGTAACGACTACAAGATAATCTCCTCCTATGTATTTTGTTAGTCCGTATAGTAAAGGGGCTCTCTTTGGGAGAATCAAGTAAATCACTCAGAGGGACACAAAGGGACATTGTTCCTTTTGTTTAAGGCCGAACCTGTTAGGTGAAGATGATGACCTAGATTTCTACAGTCCAGCACTAGTCTGTTCTCTCTCTCTCTCTCTCTCTCTCTCTCTCTCTCTCTCTCTCTCTCTTCTTGACCATCCTTTGTGGCAGTGCCTATAGTCCATCTGCAGGGGGAGCTCTTTAGTCGCTCTGTTCAGCAAACTGCACCACTCAGCGAGGCTCATATATAGGCTATATGAGATTACAGCCAATAGAATTTGCTTGTGCAGACAATCACTGCTGAAGTACTGCTGTCTAATACTAAAACTGTTCTACTGCTGTCATATTCCTGCTCATGCTTAGATGTTTGTGTCGTGTGTTTTTCAAAGAATCGCATGGAGGAAAGCATGGCCTTGTTTCGTACAATCATAAACTACAAGTGGTTCGAGTCATCCTCGGTCATGTTGTTCCTCAACAAGATAGATTTACTGGAGGAGAAAATCATGCATTCGCATTTGGTGGACTACTTCCCTGAATATGATGGTAAGAGGGAAAAGTTTTTTTCTTGGCAAAAGATATCAGAAATTCTTCCTTGTACAGATGAAAAGTTGAATTTATAAGCAGTGAAACACACCCAAATCTGTCAAGAGAGACACCAGGGCGCCTGACATTTAGCAGGCCTCTCTGTGTGTGTGTGTGTGTGTGTGTGTGTGTGTGTGTGTGTGTATATGTGTGTAGCATTCTGCAAAGACCCGCCCCCTACTCTACCTGTGATTGGCTCTGAGCCGGAAAATAAGGCGTTTGTGAGTGAAACCGCACCCTGTAATCCTCGAGCAACATCATAACCTTAAAGGTAAAGCCTTTTGGGGGATCTTTTGGCAGAAATGGAATATTATATTATTAAGTATGTTATCTTGAGTGTATATTCACCTAAAAATAAGAATCATTGTGTTTTCGTTACTGTAGAAGGAGCGGGTACGTAGAGCGTACTACGTACGGAGCGGGTTTCCGCAGCCGGCCGCCATGTTTCTACAGTAGCCCAGAACGGACAAACCAAACACTTGTTCTATAAACGGCCATTCACATTTTTGTGTTTACGTTTCTGTAGTTCTCCTACAGGCTTGGTACATGGGATAAGTTTCAGTTGGCTGCAATCTGCAACCTCACCACTAGATGCTGCAAGACACACTAGACCTTTTTAAAACATACCGGTAATTCAAAAATGAAGAGAACATTGTTTTTCATCAAGAACAATACTGCGGTGACAGTTAAACCTGTAACCGAGCCTTACCCAACATCAGTGTGGAGGTAACCGCTTCACCACCTGTCTACTATGTACCAGGTAAAATGTCTAATCCTCACCCAACATCTTCAGCGTAGATCAAATTTGGGTGGATCTAAATGATGTGCTGGTAAACCTTAATGAAAAAATGATGCGCACCAGTGCAACCAATGTAAAAAGCCCTGACACCATTTCTTCGTTCAATACACACCGTGGTTTTGCTGCTACAGCCCACTGTGGTCACGTATGACCAGTAGCTCGTGTTAGCCAACTTTAAATATTACTGTGTAACTGACTTTACATTAGCCATCATAAGATAGTGGTCATACCAGATGAAATACAGCTGTGGCAGCATGTATTCGATTGATCAAGGGTGTGTCTCATTGCTTTGGAATTCAACTTTTCATTTTGAAGTTTTGAAGTTTGGGTTATTTCCTCTTCAAAAAAAAAAAAAAAAAAAAAAAAAAAAATTGCATATCACTTAAATGTTCTGCAACCATTTTATATTACAGCACTAGCCTGTATTGTATTCTTGAGCCTACTGTAACTACTGAAAATACTATGGTGACTTTCATGCACTGTTTCTGCCCTCTGTCGCTTTCCACCAGGTCCCCAGCAGGACGTCAAAGCAGGAAAAGAATTCATCTTAGATATGTTTGTGACTCTCAATCCATACGTGAAAAAAATCATCTACTCCCACTTCACATGTGCCACAGACACAGACAACATTCGATTTGTCTTCCGCGCAGTGAAGGACCACATCTTGCAAATCAACCTGGAAGTCTACAACTTGGTTTAAACCGGTGGTGTTGCTGCTGTAATTCAATCGGCTTTGTACAGCTGGTAGTCCGGAGAGCTCTGCAGCAATTCAGTATTGCCTCACACTGCTGCTGAACACTATAATCCACAACAGGAAATTGAGAAGCTACAGAGCTTGTCGCCAAATAACTGTACTACTGATATATTTCAAATTTCCCTGTGAGGCTCTTTGGAAATGGATGTCTCCAGCTATAATGAAGTGTGTCCTGACAATTAAAGTGCTGCCTAAGTGAGGAGTCTATTACAGCATGCACTCTGAAATGTATGGAGCTCTTAACGTTTTTCGAGCAGTAACAGTATAAATGCACATGGATGAATTAAGAGGGGAAAAAAGTATTCCAGTGGCCTCAAAAGCCTCCGAGGACTTGTAATGTACTAGGTCTCTCCTTCAGGGAATCTGTGGACGTGAATGTAGACTAACTGCAATGCAGCACCTCACATCACTAACCCAAGTTGTTCATACTGTTTTGAATACTCTAAACACATAGTTTGTGTCTTGGCTTAATGGCAAACGAGTATTAATTAACACTACATTAACTTTATTACATAGCTATTTGTGCTGATATTGTACCTCACTGAGTTGGGTATTATCATTTCCACAACCGCATTTTAAGTTTTACAAGACTTTGTACACTTAAGTATTTGTCTGTGATGGCATTAATTACTCCTAAACCGCTTTTTGTGAGCACAGCATTCATATATACACTCGATGTATTTTAACCCATACAAGTCTTTATTTTGTCAAAGCTGTAGAATCAAGCGTTCATGAACTATATGAGTAGTTTTCTTGCTTAAAAAACATTTTCTATAATGTCTGTAGAGCTTTTGCCATTATTTATCTAAACGCATATTGTAACTATCACACGGTACATTAATGGTGAAAGATTTTTCACCTTTGCTCGCATCAAGGTCAGTGTGGAGAGGCTAACTGCTCAAGAGAGAACTGTTATGTTAAATATTCTCCACGGCATTAAACTAGTTCAGTCTTGATCTTTTTTTTTTCTTTTTCTAATGCTGTTAAAGGGTCTCAAATGCATGACTAAAAAGCTAATGAGAGCAAATCCACAGCACGAATGTTTACACAACCCTTTTGTTCTTGTGAGAAATAATTACAGCCTAATTTAAACAGTTTAATTTATGGTTAGATGTCACTGTCACTGCGATATCTTAATGCAGTCTTAGTGTTGTTAATGTGAGTGGATAAATAAACAGACATTTGTTGCTCAGTTTTTCATCCTTTGTGTTTACAAACCATCTCCAGCACACTGTTGGTTTAGCATTCATGTGTTTGTCTTCTTGGCTTCTTTGTCGGCTCATCTGGAGCAGTGTTGGTCCTGAAATCCTCCTCTGTGATACGTCCATCTGGCTGGAGGCTGCAGCAGCACTTCTGTTTGGGGTCCATAGTTTTAGTGTTGTGCACAGGGATATGTAGTTTGGCAAAGAACCGTTGTTTTTGGTAGAGGACAGACACTGAACGTAATGTGGCAGAAGCACATGGCACTAAAAACTGCTAAATCATGCTTTGTTTTAATGCCAGATTCATTTAATTAATTTATTCAGTGTAATAAATGAATGCCAAAAAATAAAACACTTCAAACATTCTAATATTTAATAATATCAGCCATTAGCTGTAGGCTATTTGTAACTTCAAATAGCCTACAGCCATTGACAGATTATAAGAAAATGGACATGTAAAAGGTCCCTCACCCCTCCCATATGTATATGTATATATATGTATGTGTGTATGTATGTATGTGTATATATATACAGTATGTGTGTGTGTGTGTGTGTGTGTATATATATATATATAT